GGGGGGGGGGGGGGGGGGGGGGGGGGGGGGGGGGGGGGGGGGGGGCTTAAGGGTTGTATCACAAAAGATAAGGGAAGGGAGAAAGGAGGGTCTTCTCACCTGAGCCCAAAGCTATGGGGAAGCCACACAGGGTGAGTCCTGAGTAGACTCTATAGACTCAGCAGGGAGGACTCCTTCGAGCCCCAGGGAGTCCTTCCATTCTGTGAATGCTGGAAGGGAGGAAACAGGAGGTGAGAGAGTGGAGACCTCTCTTTTGAGAGGGCGGTTGGTGAAGGAAAAGAGAATCTGGTGGTTTGTAGATATAGGAGGGAACGATGATTATTATATTGTGGAAAAATCTTGAGAACGTCGGTAGGTCAGGGACGCAGAGAAGCCAAGCTATGACCAAGAAGAAGGATTAAAGCTGGGGCAGAGTCTTGGCTGAAGTAGAGGACCACCCGTGGGTTTGGAATTTTGTAGAACAGGGAGACTTCGAGGTGGGGGTGGGGGTCGGGGTGTGGGTGAATAAGTTGGGTGGGAGAGACCATTCAGATGAATCTGGAGGTGAGGGGGTGGTGTTCTCTGATGGTGAGGGGAGGAGAGGCTGTCTAGAACCTACCATGTTACAAGGACACACAGCTGCAAGGGGAGCCCCGTTATCTTTGTTTTAGAGACCAGAGAGGTTACTTAACTTGCGTAAGGCCACACAGCTAAGAAAAGATGGCTGGGGTTTGCACCGCATCTGAGACACAAAAATAGTTGTGTGTGTGTGTGTGTGTGTGTGTGTGGTGTGTTGTGTGTGTGGGTGCCCCCCTCTGTTTAAAGATGGGTGAGCTACTTCTAGCTGGGGTACCAGGGAAAACAGTGCATAGTCTTTTATCTCAATGCTCTGTTTTCCAAATTCAGATTCTTGTTTGAAATGCTCCAGGCTTACATATCTTGAGATATAATTTAAGACATTCCTCTGTGGATTTATTTCTGTACTCATTTTAGTCAAAATATCCAGGATGGTATTATCTGCAAAAATGTCCCTGATGTTTTGAGCAGGTTTTTTTATTTTTAAAATTTTTTATCTTGTGCCTTTGAGAGCAGGACTTGTTTTGCCAGCACTGGGGGTTTCATCACTGAAGAAGGTGTGGTTCTGCACGTACGGCTGTGGCGGAGACCTGCCAGATACCTGTTCCTGGCATCTGGCATCGATGTTTGCTCCTGGTTTGTAGTCAGTGGTGGTGTCCCCTAGGGGAAGCGTTGTCCTGTCCTGGTCACAGACGTCAAGAAATGATTGTTTTTTGATCCTACACTCTTGTCTATCAAGAATAACTCAGCTCAGGCTTTTTTCCCTTTCAGTTTTTTAATTGTGGTAAAATACACGTAACATAAAGTTTACCATCTTAACCATTGGAAATACACAGCTCAGTGGTATTAAGTACATTCATACTGTCGTGCAACCATCCCCACCATCATCTCCAGAACTTTCTCATCTTCCCAAACTGAAACTCTGTCCCCATGAAACACTGACTCCCCATCTCCTCCCCCAGCCCTGGCCCCCACCATCTACTTCCCGTCTCTATGGATTTGACTTCTCTAGGGACCTCGTATAAGTGGAATCATGTAGTATTTGTCCTTTTGTGTCTGGCTTATTTCACTGAATATAATGTTCTCAAGGTTCATCCATGTCGTAGCAGGTGTCAGAATTTCCTTCCTTTTTAGGGCTGAATAATATGCCATTGTATGGATGGACCACATTTTGTTTATCCATTCTTCTATCGATGGACACTTGGGTTGTTTCCCCCTTTTGGTTATCGTGAATAATGCTGCTATGAACCTGGGTGTACATTTCTGGCTTTTAAAATGTTTATGTTTCTTTGTTGTTGTGGCTTACACACCATTTCATGGGATTTTTGAATGCTAAACGGACCGAAATGAGCCTTTAGAAGATACCTCCGTGTCTTAGGCAACAGACACAGACCTGTGAAAACTATCTGGCAAGCCCTCAATTCCCCCAGAATCCTCTCCAACACCTCCTTGAGCCGCTTTCTTGCATGATTGCCAGGTTCTGGAAACATCTAAGGTCTGGTCAGCATTTGGGATGAAGGTGTTGGGTTGTCCTCTGAACACAGTTTAAACATTCTCTAAAATGTTCCTTTTTCCACCTGATCCCAAAACAATGCTGCTTTTGGCAGAGAGAGAAAAAGAAGGTTCTCAGTGGTGAAAGTATTTAAAAGGAAAGTCACTGTGGTGTATGTCTTGAGATGCTTCTTCTCCATCACTCTGTCTACATATTTGGGGTGGAGATGCCAACGGAGGCCAGATGCAAGGAGCCTTGGATGGGCAGAGTGGAGATGGAGTCTTTGTGAGCTGGGTCACAAAATGTGTTTATTGTGAACCTACTATGTGCCAGGTATTGGGGTCCTCAGGGCCACAGTAGGGACAAGCCCCTGCATCCTTGGAGAGGACCTTCTGATGGCAAATATAGACATTGAATATGTGACTGAATGCACTTGTAGGAAGAGTTACAAGAGGGGGATCTGTGGGTGAAAGCATGGGATGGAGACCTAAACTAGTCTTCAGAAAATATCTCCCCTCCCCCCACATAGGTGTGTCATAAAGACCCGAAGGTCAGCCTCACTGAACCCATTTCCAAGTGGTTACGAGAATTGTTCGGAGTCCTGTTTTGCCGGTCATGGCTCATGAGCTGGACCAAACCAGTGTTTCCCCATCTGAAGAGTGAGGATAATTACGGCACCTGCTTGTCAGGGTTGCAATTTTGGGAGCTAAATGAAATGATGCACGGGGTACACTTATCCCAGCCCTTGACACTTTGTGACTTTTCTGGAAGCTTCTCCTAGACGCCATGAGTCCACTACCCTTTCTGGGCAGACGAGCCACTGGGTAAGTGTCTGCCAAAGCTTGGCTCCATTTCTGACTTTGGTCTTGGGGCAGGCAGAGGAAAGCCCACCGTGTGACCTGCTGATGAGAGCTGGGTGCTCGGACCTGTGGCCCCAGAGGGAAGATCACTGTGCTTACCTGGCGCCTCAGCTTCCGAGGCTCTGGGGACCCCAAGCTCTGGACTTTCGGTGGGGGGGCGGGGAACAGAAACCACAGGACTTGCTTGACCAGCTGCCCCAGGAAAACCCACTGGCATTTTTCTTCTTTTTCCTGGGAGGCCACCCCAGCTGCTCGCTGCCAGTTAGAGGGGTGGGTGAGTCTGGGGCACGATGGGTGCCAGGAAACTGGTCGTTGATGCCACATACGGCAGGAGCAGGAGGCAAAGGGAGGCGATTCTCTCCTTCCTGAGTTTGAGTTTCCATCCATGTTTCAGAGTCTCTGAAAGCTGAGGTGCTCCATTTATATTAAACACTACCTATTTAAGTGCATGTACATTCTCTCTTGAAGGGTTTGCTTTTATTTGTTTATTTATTTTTAAAATTAATTTTATTTATTATTTATTTTTGGCTGCGTTGGGTCTTCGTTGCTGTGCGGGGCTTTCTCTAGTTGCGGCGAGCGGGGGCTACTCT